TTCAGGCATTTGTCTATTATGGGAACATAAAGACTGCAGACTAGATGGGGATTGTATTGACCCAAACAGACTTGCTGCGTAATTTGGGAGTGTCATCCTAGACCAGTGATGGCGAAGTTTTTGGGCTCAAAAGCTTCCCTTTCTCAGCATCCTGCCTCCATTCCTCCCTGGTAACAAGCTGTCCCAATCCTGAGGGGTCCTGGGCTGCCTCATCCTGTTCTTTCCCACATTCCTCTGAAGCCAATGAAGCCTCCCCCTCGATCTCCATCAACTCTAGCTGCCGGCTCGTCCTCCTCTGCAGATTCAGGCTTTGATGGGGGCATGACAGTCAAGGTTGGGCCTGAGGTAGAGACTTGGGCCTTGAGTTCAGCCCTAGTCCTAGCACCTCTGATGCCACTCAAAACGTCACTTTGCACTTCCTTGCAAAATAGCAGTATTACATAGGTGTGCTTTGTACGATTGCTTGGCACGATTGCTCCCACCATGCAGCGGTCCTGAGGATTAGCCATGCACCACCTACTTTCAGGCTGTATTCGTTTTCTGTTGACAGGCATCTGCAGTCTACCTAAGGCTGCTCGAAGTTGCATGAGATCTTCATTCGTAAAGTGGCTTTGGAGAATGCTCTTCCACGCACTTTGCTGCCTCCAAAAACCACATGAAAGCACATCCATTCTCATGCAATTTTCAGGGGGTCTGGAGGCCACATGAGAGCACGGCCCTCTCCCATGACTTCCAGAGGGTCTGGAGCCCATATGAGAGCACATCCCATTCTCATTCAGCCCCTGGAGTCTCTAAAAATTGTGCAAGAAAGGGGAATGATTTCAAGAAGAATTGATAAACACTGGTGGGTCACCTAAAATGTCATAGCATTTCAGGCCATGTGCCATAAATTGGCCATCACTGTCCTAGACCAGTGGTCCCCAACCTCCGGTCCATAGACTGGCATACCCCCTCTGGTCCACAGAAATACTTTTCTCCACAGAACCGGACTCTTGTGCTCAAAAGGTTGAGGGGTCATTGTCCTAGACTAACAGTTTCCTATGAAGAGAAAGAATCTGGACCAGACTGTCACCTGCCCTTAACTGTTTATACTTGGGTATATCCCATGCATGGAGTCTCTAAGCAGTGCACAGGAGAAAGACTGTTGGTCTAACCTGAATGGTAGTTCTCTGTGTGCTGCAGGAGACTCCATTCCCACCCAGTTCCACTGATTCTGGATCAAAGAGTGCTTTCATAAATCCGTATTGTGTAGTAATTGCACTTTTTCCGGACCTGGAAGTCCCTACTTACAGTCATTCACATCTTGGTCAGCTCTCATCTGGATAACTGCAGTGTATTGTATATGGGACTACTCTTGAATATCATTTGGAAGCTACTGTGAGTATACCTTGGTACACCTATATAATACTGATTCTTTGCAGGCTGTACTGGTTACCGGTGGGCTTCTAGTACAATTCAAGGTGCTTATGTTGTAATTTCTGTTGCCTATACAATAAGATCTGGCATGCTCCAGGTTTCATCAGTTGAATGTCACTGTTGCTGGATCTACTGTATGTGGGTGACTCAATGGTTATGAAACTGGGACTTAGACTGCTAAAGGTCTACAGCATGGCAGTTTGAGACCTGAGTGCCATGAGATGGAGTGAGCTCTTGTCACTTGTCCCAGCTCCTGCCAACCTAGCAGTTTGAAAAAATACAAATGCAGGCAGATGAAAAGGTACTGCATATAAATATGCAGGAAGGTAACAGCTTCCCATGTTTCGCTGTACATTTTGTGCTACGGCTTGATGTCATGCTGGCACATGACCATGAAAACATCTCCAGACAATGCTGGTTATTTGGCTTAAGAAACGGAGATGAGCACTGCCCTTTAAAGTCAGTCATGACTAATGGGGTAAAACCCTCAGGGACACTTTTACTTGTATTCCCCTCCAGATCTGGATGATTCTGACTCTGCATGACTTCTGAAAGGACTCTGAAAACTTGGCTTTGTCCAAAGCATTGGTCAGGAGATTGTGTAAGTTCCATCTTGATTGCTTCTGATTATTTGAATTGTTTTTAGGGCAGTACGTTTTATTATGTTTAATGGAGGAGGGTTATTTGTTGCTTTTAACTATTCAGTCATATGTTGTATCTGGCTATTCCAAGCAATGGCCCAAAGGGATTTCTTTTCATCAACTAATTTTTCCTACTAATAGCAATACAGTGGACTAAAGATGGCAAAAGTTGAACTGTATCCATGATTTCCTACACTGGACCTCCTTCCTTGGTTTTTGGCAATTGCTGTTTAACGGTGGTTCTTCAATGAAGCCTTTGTCACACATGCTTGTATCCTACAGCAGGAAGAGGCAGGCAACTTGTGCCCTAGGCAAATTTTGAACTATAATTCCCATAGCCACTTTCTATCACTCAATGTAATTTAAGCTGTCTGGAGTCAAGCCGAGCATCTTCTAAAGGCACTGAGTTATCTATTTCTGTCTTATTCATATTTTAACTAAAATATGCTCTTTTGTTCTAAGTAGAGTTTCCTGTTACAGTTATATGGTTGAGCAGTAAAGCACATGGTGACTGTACTCTTTCGTTGCTCTATGTGGTGTTTTATATAAACAGAATTTCTAACAGATTTCCCAATCCTGTCTCAACTGTTTAAAGCAGGAGGTATCTGAATCAAAGTAGCAATAGCAATAATATACCGCTTCATAGGGCTTTCAGCCCTCTTTAAGCGGTTTACAGAGTCAGCATATTGCCCCTACAGTCTGGGTCCTCATTTTACCCACCTCGGAAGGATGGAAGGCTGAGTCAACCTTTGAGCCGGTGAAATTTGAACTGCCGAACTACAGTTAGCAGTCAGCTGAAGTGGCCTGCAGTACTGCACTCTAACCACTGCGCTACCTCGGCTCTTAAAATCTTCCCCAGGCCAAAAGGGATATATATGTGTGTGTAACAAAAGGGTGTATATGAAGGAGAGGAAAGGGAGAAGAATGAAACACTGGATTCTTCCTTCTGTTGCATTTTGATGCAGGATTATTAAACCCCACTCCTCATCTCAACATTACACGTGGAAAGTGTTGTTCATTTGGGCCCCCTATTAGTTCAAGAAGTAAGGCCCTTTCTTTGCTATGAATTACAGGGAAAGCATGGAGTCAAATAGAATAGCTGGCATCTCCAGTTGCCCCTTAGCAACCAAATGGGGGGGGGCATGGGAAAATGATCATGTGTCCAAGAGTTTGTGCCCAAGTTCATATCCAGCGCATGAGATAAAGAAAAACAATAAATAAGACCGAGTTTCCAGACTGATATATATCCACAGATTAAATGTTTCCATTCTTTGTTTTTTCTAAATGAAGGCTGAAGGGTACCATCCAATTGGTTGAAGCTCTTTACTCATTATCTGCTAAAAGGCCAGAAATGAACAAAGTGAACTCATTTTCCCAGCTGCTTCTGCTTACTAGAAACACACATGCGTGTATAAAACTATCCCTTGTTTTTCCTCTCCATCTCATGGAAGGAAAAAGTATCTTGGTGTAAGTAGTTTAGACTAGAGAAAGCATGGAAAGCAGAGGTAGTATTCAGCTGGTTCTCTCCGGTTTGGGCGAAAAGGATAGCGGTGGCTTCAGGAGGCTCCGCCCACCTGCCCTGACATAATGCATGAGCACTGCACATGCGCAGAAGGTGGTGCGCATGTGCAGATGAAGTGAGAGTGAAGCGAGCACGCTCACATTTGCGAATCGGTAGGGAAGGTAAGTGAATCCCACCTCTGATGCAAAGAATTAAAATTTCTCTCTCTATTCCTCTGTGCTTCAGTCAAAAGTGAAGCCTTTCCTGCCTCTCTGCGTATGATAATAATACTGTTCCTCTGTGTTGCTACATCAGAATCTCCTCCTTCTACCTACTGTTGAGGAGTAAATGAAATGTTCTCTGAGTGTCATATCTTAATTTTTATTCTAACCTTGCAAGGACTGGAATGCATTTCATTTGACTCCTTCTGACCCAACTTCCACCTTATTCTGAGTGACCGTACACCAATAAAACTAAATAATATCTTTCTAGTCAAAGAATTTGTTTTCCTGAGTGGGAGTTTTGCTTTTAAAACTGTTTATACTGTGCAGGGAAACCCAAACTTATATTTTGTGAGAATTGTTCAAAGGAATCACTTCACACTCCTCGGCATGGCACACAATTTCCAGCGAGCAGAAAATAACCAGGTAGGAGTGACACAGACTGATGGATGAAAAAAGGGCTTAGCAAATCAGAGGGCTATAGTTTTTAATATTTTTAAACTAGCTACAAAATGTCAATCACATCACAAACTGACAGGAGACAGAAGGAATTTCATATTACATGCGGCAACTATATTTAATCTCACAGTTTTATCTAGAAGTCATTCACGTAAGTTATTTTTATTTTGTTTTATTTTAAAATCAATAACAGCTACTAAACATCGCCGTGATTTTGGTATGCATAGCTCTAGATAAGCAACAGAGAACTGTATTAATAACAAACCACATGGGGGAGGGGAGAAAAGAAAAGAAGAAAAGGAGTCTGTGTTTGTGTGTGTTTGTGTGTGTGTGCGTGCACGCCAAAGCGTGTGTGAGAAAGAGAGAAGAGAGAGAGAGAGAGAGAGAGCTAGAAAGATACAGCCTTATAAAAATTACATTTCTCTGCAACATTTCATATGATAGCCATCCCTCCCCCTGAAAAAAGACAATTTTTGAAAGCAGCAGACAAACTCTGTATATTACACTTATATCTTATTTGCTGATGCTTTTTTGTTGTTGTTTGTTGTTGTGTTTCAGCCAAATGTTTTATTTGCTGGCAATGATGAAATGATAAGTGCCAGATCCAATTATTTGGTCTTAAAATGCGGTAAACGAAAAGAATGGGGGGGAAAAAAGAGGAACCAACATCTTTATATGGAAAAATAAGATGGTGCTACTGCAGACTTGCTGGTATAACATAGTCCTGACAGAGTCCCAATACCAAGCATGCTAAATTTTTTGTTTTCTTTTGTTGTCACTGATGTTATTACTGCCATGGAAAAGTCTCACTTAAGTTAAAGAGTCTAAAAATCTATTTTTTTCATGCAATAAATGCATAAATCACATCACTGTTTGCTTAGTGCAATGCTTGTTATAAGTTATGTAATTCCACATTGTCTTATTATGAACTTAGAACAACGGATGACAGCAATGGAGAAATTGAGGGAACATGAGGTTCTTAAGTGTTTAAACAACAATGATGTTCAAAGAAGAGACTTCTGGGGGGGCAGCTCTGTGAAATGTTAACAGTTTTACAAGAACAATACTGTATAGTTCAAGGTTTAACAGCACGTTGAGCATTCCTACATTTTGTTTTTCATTTAGCAGAAACGTCATAATTTTTAAAAAAAGAAAAAAGAAACAAACCCACCAACCAAAAATGGACAGAAAATGCAAAGGGAGGACTGGAATGGAGGGAGGGAGGGAGGGAGGGAGGGAGAAAGGAAAAACCCAACAAATAAATAGAACATAGTCATGAGTTATAGCCGTTAAATCAGTACTATATACATACAACCTTTGGAAAGGAAGAGGTCTGGGAAATAAAAATAAATTTACAAGTATTATTTTTGGAAAGCTGACAACTTACACAGGACAACATTTACAGAGGGAAGGAAGAAGAGGGGCTGATATGTGCACGTATGCAAACCTAGTTGGTAAATACCATGAGAAAAAGCATGAGATTGCTCCCCTCGGGGACAGTGTGTGTAGAAGGATTGGCCCCTGGTTGCCTTTAACTGCTGCCCAGCATCTTTGTTGCACGTTGATTGGCTTCATCAATCCTGGTTTTGTTGGAAACAGCCTGAATTGGAGAAAAGAAACAAGGAGGAAAAAGGTGAAGATGGCAATGCTGTCAAGAAAGTTGTACTAGAGTAATGGGTATCTGGGGATCCAGTCCCAGAAATGTGTGACAGTCTAATGCAGGCTATATTAATACTAAGTAAGAGTAGAGTAGGGTAGGGTAGGGTAGAGTAGAGTAGAGTAGAGTAGAGTAGAGTAGAGTAGAGTAGAGTAGAGTAGAGTAGAGTAGAGTAGAG